ATCTTTTAATTTCAACATATTTTACAAAAACTTACGAAACTGTGAGCAACTATTTGCTCGTTTCTGATGTAATCATACAATTAACCGCTTGCGTTCAATCAACATCTTTCAATATTTCATCTTGTTTATCACAGGGATGAAAGATTTAAAAACGATTGGACAAAACACCCCATTGTCTGAGCTCGGTATGGATTCGATGATGGCAGTGGATATCAAGCAAACTTTAGAGCGGGAATTCGATATTTTCCTCACCGCGCAAGATATTCGAAATCTCACTTTTGCAAAACTAAAAGATATGGCCGACAAAGACAAACGTTTTGCAGAGGACACTAACGACGTCGTAGATTCGGAAGGTGGAAAATTATTTATTCGGCTATTAAGCAATTTAGACATAAAATCGGACATTTGTTTAGAAATGCCAACGAAACAGGAGACGGAGAGAAATCGTATATTTCTTCTACCGGGNAAGACAAATGTTTTGCAGAGGACACTAATGACATTGCAGATTCGGAAAATAGAAAATTATTTATTCGACTAATAAGCAATTTAGACATAATATCGGACATTTGTTTAGAAATGCCAACGAAACAGGAGACGGAGAGAAATCGTATATTTCTTCTACCGGGTATCGAAGGTTGTGGGAGCGTATATAATTCATTGGCTCTGGAAATCAAGGCTCCTGCAACGTGCTTGCAGCATGGCACGAATAATATCTCCACATGCGAATCTGTGGTGCAATCGGCTGCCACCTTATTACCTGTATATACAAATATAAAATATTATGTTACATATACGAAATTAGAATATGAATGATATTCTATTTCTGGGCGTTAATATAGTATCACCGTTATTACAACACCCGACTTGTACAAATTCTCCAAGTTTAAAAAATAAATAAATGACATGTATCTCTTTTTTAGCATATTCTTACAAGATTGAAAGATTCCGAAGAATTTACAATAGTCGGATATTCGTTTGGATCGTTAATTGCTATTGAGCTAATGAGATTGTTGGAAGCTAAAAATCTCAGAGGGCAGTTAATATTAATTGACGGCGCTCCCGATCAGATGAAAGCCTTGAAAGAACAATATTTTCCATTTACCAATATTGATGAGTTTCAAAATAATGTTCTTTTAGGCTTAACGGATTTATTCTCTACGCTTCATAGTACAATGGTATGTTGTAATATAAGTTTCGCATTATACATTGTGATACACTTAACAATGATGATTGTTGTTAACAGATTCTAATTGAATTATCCAAGTACAAGACGTGGGAGGAAAAGCTTAACGCTTTTATTGAGTACATACTCACCATATCTACACAACTACCTTTTGTTGAAAATTACAAGGTTTATTGTACGACCATTTACAAGCATCTCATGGCCCTTCAAGAATACGATGCGTCTTTATTGCCGCCACTGAAATCATCTATTGTGTTATTAAAACCCACGTTTGCGTCTCTGTCTTCTGCCGAGGAAGATTATGGTTTGCGCATGGTAAACTTAGTACAATGATCCATTTTAAGACAATGCATGATTTTGAGATCGTAATATTAATACTGTAGTGCATATCATGTAAGTATATGATTTCAGAAGCCGCTTAACTGCAGAATTAATATTTTTTTAGGTTACTGAAGGTCGGGTGCAAGTTCATTATATTGAAGGTAATCATATCACGATGATAGAAAATAATGAAGTTGTTGGTGTTATTAACGGAGACGTGGTGTTGTCATGAAAAATATTTTTCATAAATTACAATGATATAATTGATGAATAATGAATATATTATAATGTTATTTTACGAGAATGTTTTCATTGCATTATTTCATTTGGAAACTGTGCAATTTTATCAACATGTAACAATACTTACAATTACACAAGGTTTTAATAAAGAATTAAGAATACGATGCATCTTTATTGCCGCCACGGAAATCATCTATTTTGATATTAAAACCGACATTTGCGTCTCTGCCTTCGGCCGAGGAACATTACGGTTTGTGNGCCGAGGAACATTACGGTTTGTGCATGGTAATCTTAATACAGTAAAGCACTTCCAGGCTGTGTTTAATTTCGTTTAAGTTCGAAAATTATTTCACAATAAAATTAATTATTTTTTTATATTACCGAAGATACAGTGCAGATTCGTTTCATTGAAGGTAATCATATCACGATGTTGGCAAACCACCAAGTTGCTTATGCCATTAATCAAGATATTTTATAGACAAATAATCTTAACAAACTTAACAAATTAATCTTAACAAATTAAATTTAAAATGGAAATTTTCACTATATTATTTTTTGAAAAATAATAGAATTTTTATCAACATATTTGTGACTACAATTATGAAATCAGTCTATTTTTTTGCTTTGACATTTATTTATGACAAGACATAGATGTCAACATAACACGTTTAGTACGATTGAAAATTGAGCCTGATACAGTGCATATTAGCCACTGCTCTTTAATTTGTTTTCAATAAAAGAAATATGCTGCTGATACACAGAATCATTTATGAGATTTATGGTAAAAATATTATATCCTTCATGGAGAGAGAATATATAGTAAACCGGAAATATAATATTTGATTGCGGAGATGTGAGTCTTAAATTTCACAGAGATGCGTCGCAACAATCTTACGTATTATAAATATTACAAGTTTTGCAATTTCTGTACTATGCAGGGGCATGCAAGATAAAATGAAAGCGAGTCTGGCGTATTTGGTTCAGCGCGTTCTCGCTCTCACGCGCGCCTCTGAGTAGGCAAGCCATAGTAATATGCTGTATGTTGATGCAACCCTATAATATTTTCTTCTGCTAAATATCAATTAACTATCCGTTTAATGGAAGCTGCAGTAGACTGCTTCTACACTATGCACGACCAAACTTTCTATGTGTTTGTATAAGATAGTTTCACATCGCTCTGTTGTATATACATGCTTAAGTACAAGAAAATAAAGTAATCGAAGAAGGCAAAAGGAAAGTATAACACAAGAATCATGTAAAGTCTGTTCAACAAGAAAATGTGGCTAATAATTCAAAAAGTATAAAAGAAAATTTAAATTGTGCTTTTTTTTAACCGAAAATAGTAGACCTTCGTAATGCGCAATTATTTAGTAATTATTAATTATTGCTTGACACCGTTTTTGTATACTTTCAACCATATTTTCGGCGAGTTCTGCAAGTAAAGAGCGTCTAAAATTTTGTTATTATTTTCGAGCACAGCTGGTTAAAAGTGAAGACGTGCTTTCTTTTGATTCTCATCTTAAGGTATGACCATATATTTTCGATGGAGTTTGCGTCTGGAGAGGATGCCGACCAATCTTTCGTAGTTATGCCATTTTTGAGCTTCCACGCAGTACATAGCCGACTACAATGTTTCGGGTCATTATCTTCTTGCAGTAATCATTTCGTTCTGTCATCACTAAAAAACATTTTAGCAGACCTTAATAAATATTTTTGGTAAAATATATATTAACTATGTTAATAATTAAATAAATACTTTTTGTATACATCTTTTTATTAGAATATACAACGCAAAAATTATAAGCATACGATTGTTTCACCTTTGACATCAGTAAAGTAAAAAAGTCACACTGAAAGGTCAGGTGTCTTAAGATCATACGAATAATTTATGCAAGTTAGGTATAGGCGGTAATGCGTCAGCTAAACACACGATACACACACTTATGTACATATGTTTTATTAATTTTCGTATACTAAGCAAAGTAAGAATGCACAATGTAGAACATCCTGCTTTAGTTAACTGCACGAAGAAAAATAATTCGTTGGCACAATAAATTTTATGTTGTTGCAATGAAGTATGTCAGTTATTATATGGATAAAAAAATTATTTTTAAGAATACCAATTGCCATTTGCTGTATTTTANGTGCTGATTCTACAAATCATTTTGCTATAAGAACAAATTATTAAATGTAAAAAATCTCTATTTTGTTTTAACAGCAAATGAACATGTCCTGAAGAGAAATTCACTCAGCAGAATATTTTCTATTTTGGTAAGAAAACTATTTCTTCTCTAACTACGACTAATTTACTAATGTGTTCTGTTAATTACATTTTATCGGTATCGTAACGAATATGCAGTGACAAAGATGGTTTTGCTATAGCAGTAAAATTATTTTTCTCTGTTTGTTATAAATAATAATAAAATAATTGAACATATTTTATTTAGGAATTTTTGTTTCGATGTGCAATGAAAGGGAGACTTCACAAATTTCACGTTTTCATAAGCTTTGTCGTGATAAGCTTTGTCGTTAGCACAAATTCGTCGATCCATTGATCTGATTATTTTAATTAACAAATAGGAACTCCCAGTTGATTAAACTGATATATTAAGGTAACAATGGCAGCGTTCAGAAAATACGACTGTTGCGTCAACAATAATTGAATAATTCGTCAACATAATTGAGTAATTTTTCAACATAATTAATCTAAATTTGGAAATGTAACGGTAGAGATCATTAAACACTGACGGCCCACTGATCACTTTGTTCCACTGAACACAGCCGATGTAATATCGATTGGTTTATATACAGTAATTACTTTGCAAAATGAGAAATCATATTCTGGTAGACCACACACGTGGAGTCTATTGAGACATTAGGTGTACAAACTAATTCTCATTGTTTAAATGCAATCAATTTTTGCACTTATTTAAACTGAACCTTTTTGTCGCCATGTTAAGGTTTTGAAGTACAACTTAAAAAATCTGGGAACTTGAATATAACTCAAATTACCCGAATATTTACCAAACACTAATAACTATTAGGTGTAAAAATTAATTCCCGGCCCTTTTTCAATAAATCCAATTGCAGTCATTATTTGTAATGATAGTTTTAGATTTGATATACGAGGTCTGTTCAAAAAGTATCGCGAATTATGAATTTTCGCGGGTTCCGTATATTCAATTTTCGATTTTTTTGTGGCGTTATGTTGGTACTCATGT